GCACTGCAGAGAATAGCTTAGGTGAAATGGGATCACCTTGTCTAACACCCCTTTCTATAGGAAATTCCTCTCCTATTCTATCTAGCTTGACTTGGGCTGAATTCTTTGAATATATGTTTTTTAGTATTCGAATGTATTTTTCCTCGATGCCCTGCATTGCTAATGCATTCCATATGCTATTGTGGTCTAGGGAATCGAAAGCTTTATTGAAATCTACAAACCCTAAGTAGTAGGTTTTATTATATTCCTTATATTTTTGGAGCAACTGCCTTAGTACGTGAATATGGTCTATGGTCGAAAACTTACTTCGGAAGCCGGCCTGTTCTCTGGGTTGGTTTTCATCGAGCTTGACAGTAATTCGTGATAGTATTATTTTAGAGAATACCTTATATATATTTGATATCAGACTTATTGGTCTGTAGTTGTTCATGTCTCCCTTGTCTCCCTTTTTGTGTATCAGTACAATAGTTGATTTTGTCCAATCACTAGGGATAGTTTCAGTTAATAGGATGTCGTTAAATAGCTCTGTTAGTTTTGGAGTGAACACAGGTATTGTGTATTTTAGTAACTCGTTTGTTATTTGGTCTGAGCCTGGCGCTTTGTCCAGTTTCTGTGTGTTAATTGCTCTTATAGTTTCCTCCAGCAATATTTTTGGTATTGTTTCTGTTATTGCCATTAGTTGATTTTGTTTTTCTCCTGGTACTGTCGTTTGACACTTGTATAGTGTTCTGTAGTAGTCCGTGGCTCTTTCAATTATTTCTTGCCTTTTGCTTGTGTTACTTCCATTTTTGGTTTTTAGGTTTGGCATCCAATTTTTCTTTTGGTTTAGTTGCTTCAGAGCCTTTTTTATGCCTCCAGTTTTTTCAATGAAAGATTTTAAGGTTTTCTGTCGTTTTGTTTTCCTGTCTTTTCTTATATGTTCGTTTATCTTTTTACTCAATTCAGATATTTTAAGGCGTATTTGTTTATCTTTTCCCTTATGAATAAGTTCTTTCCTCTCATCAAGTAATTGTTTAGTTTCTAAGGATAATATGTTTTCAAATTCTTTATTGGTCTTTCTGGCTTCTGTTTTAAGTATATGCAATATGCTATCATATCGTTCTTGAATTGTTTCATAGTTTATATTTGTATTTTCATTTATTGCAGTGTTTAGGTTATCGAGGAGTGTGTTCTGATTTCCAGTGAATACAATAGTGCTCTTGTAGTTCTTATTGCTACTAAATCTTCTTTTCTGTACTTGCTTTCCTGAAAAAACGGCTCTTAGCATTCTGTGGTCTGTATAGAAGTTCAGCTGGTTTACAGTACATACATCATTAAACATCTTTCGATTATTGGTCAGGATAAAGTCGATTTCATTCTTGCATTTGCCATTAGGTGACATCCATGTCCATCTTCTCGATTTTTTCTTCTTATAAAAACTGTTTAGGATGCTCAGCTTGTTTTCCAATGCAAAGGTGACTAATCTGGTTCCATTTTTACTTCTTCGGCCGTATCCATGTTTTCCTATTGTATATTCCTCTCCCTCGTTACAGACTCCTATTTGACAATTAAAATCTCCCATCACAATAAGATTTTTATGCGAGCCTTGTACGGCTGAATTTAAATCATCGTAGAATTTGTCTGTTTTTATATTGTCTTCTTTATTATCTGGTTCAGTTGGTGAATATGCTTGGATTATGGTCCACATTTCTTCTTTATCTTTGAACGAAGGCAATTTAATGTTAAGCATTGCTATTCTTTCGTTGATTCCTTTAATTTCTTCTATTTTATTTGATAGGTTGGTTTTTATAAGGAAGCCAACACCATATAAACCCGGTGTCTCACCAATGTAATGGAGTATATACTTGCCATTATGGTCCTCAATTCCTTCTCCAAACCGTCGCATTTCGCTGATGCCAATTATATCCCATTTTATATTGTCTATTGCTATCTCTAGCTCTGTTAGTTTTTCCGGTGTTCGTAGTGAGCGTGTGTTCAGGGTTGCGATGTATATGTTCGATTTAGTTTTTTCTTCATTCTTTCCATTTAGAGGGTCGTGGTCATTTTCCCCCACGAGGACCAGTCGGTTTGGGGGAGGATTTTGTTTTTCAAGTTTTAAATTTTTTGTATTAGTATTTATTTTTGTATTCCGGTTCCCGTTTATTAGTTGCTATTGTTTATTATTTGTTGCATAGTTTGAAAGAGAGTTTGATCTACTTCTCATCAGGTCGAAGGCATTGGTTCTGTTATCTTTAGAAGTACGTGTGATTTGTTTTCTTGGTTGAATATGATTTTGCGGTGACGATGACATTTCTCTCTTCCGTTTTTCATTAGTGGTGTTTTCTTTTATAATGAGTTTGTCATGTTTAAGATAAGCGATATTCCCCTTTTTCCTTTCTTCTTCCAATTTTGGAATTAGTTCCTTTCTCTTTTCCATGACTTCTTTTGAAAAATCGTCCTTCACGTATAAGTCTTTTAGGTTCTTTTTATTTTCCATAATTTCACTTTTCCTCCATGCACTTACAAAAGACAGAAGAACTGGCCTGGGTTTATCTTCTTTGATTATTTTTCCAAGTCGATAAACTTTGTTCACTTCCCAGTCTTCAATTTTAATACCCAGATCATCCTTAAAAGCCACCTTTATCTTATCTATCATTTGGGTTGTAGACTTTTCTCCCTCTTTCAAGCCAAATATAATAATATTATTGTTTTTCTTTTCTTTTTTCAGGTATTTTATCTCCTCTTCTAGTTTTCCTACTTTTTCTTTTAAGTTTTTATTTTCTGTTATAATGGGCAACATTTTTTCTTCCATTTTTTCCATAATCGTGTTTGTAATAGACTCTGTTATTGATTTTGTTTGATTTTCAAGCTCTGTTTTCATTTTATCAAAAAGTAGTTGAAATTGTCCTTCCATTTCTACAGCAATATACTGTTGCGTTTGAACACTGAGTGGAAAGGAACGTGTTTTGGTAGAAAAAGTCTTTTTTTTTTTTTTACGCTGGTAACTTCAAGGCAGTATGTCAGTAATCTGTCAGTTTTCAAATGTTGTCATATTTGACATAAGACACTAACCTCACTTTTTGCCAATGGTTTCACTTGTTTGATATGGGGTTTCATAGGATAAACTTTATCTATTATTTCCCGTAGTTATAAACACTTTCTTTTCTTGGTTGGTGATGGTGACAATATCGGAAAACACTTTTTATTATTATTAAACACGGTTAAACTTGAGGTGACACACAGTGATGTTTACGCCACAACGACCGGAACCGGATTTTTTTTTTTTTTTTTTTTTTTTTTTTTTTTTTTTTTTTTTTTTTTTTTTTTTTTTTTTTTTTTTTGTAAAGTTAGAAGTCCAGATTAAATAATAGGGTACTTTTTATCCCAGAAAAAAATGATATTTCCGAGGGAAAAAAGTATTGGTATAGATGGCGCTGTATGTATTGGTATATGTCACATAGGCTACTTTATATCCTTTTATGACGCGAGCGAAGCCGCGGGTAAAAGATAGTAAAAACATATTAAAGTGTGGTGAACATAAATAAATAAATATTTGCCAATGTAATAGCCCTAGATTTGCCAATATGATGCTTATTGGCGAATATCATTAGCAAAGCATCACGTTTTTTATTTGCCAATAACAACAACCTTTGATCTTGATCGCCTTGTTGAACAAGTTACAAACGCTATCGAACGAGAGGTTTCCCATGGAAGTGTACTTTTGCAACGAATAATCGATTTTGATTATGCAAATTTTCAAAAATTGCACATCATTTATAATATGTTCGCTCCTCTTAACTTGAGACCCGTGATTATAGTCACGGGTTTGACTGCATATAGAGTTCTTATTTGTGTGGATGGATGATCATCAAAAGAGTCTTCCTACCCTGGGTGCGGCGAGAGGGAGAGGCGGACTCACTGACGTTAACGGTGCTCTGCCTCGAAGCAGGAGAAGTTTTTTTTTTATATTTGATGGGCCGACGTTTGACCACCATCTCGCCTGGTCGTAAGTGATGATGCGGTCTACGATGGACCACGTTGTCCCATAAGAAATCTATTCACTCGGGGCTTGAAGACACTGGCAAAGAATTATACTATACTGTAACTGTCTAATTTGACCTTTCGAAGTAAGCTCGATCGCATTCTCGCCTGTCATTGGTCAAGATTATTCTCCCAACCAATGACATGGCGGATTGCGATCGAGTTCATTTCGTTCTTTCGAATTGAAAGTTACAGATTAGCTTAGCAGGAACGGGGTTGTTTTAGTCAGTAAGAGTCTGACACGGGAGAGTCCTCACTCAAGGTGGGAGAAGTAATTGATGATTTCCCTCTACAAAAAATAACTCTTACAGGGTAGAAACCACCCCTCCTGTTCCTTGTTTGAGCCGGGCCGCGGTGTATGGCTAACTTAACCCGAGACCTAGCAACATAATTGGGCAACCGGTAAACGCGCATCGAGTTGCAGTGAATAAAAAAAACGTTGTACACTTCAACCCATTTAAGGGAATAAAAAATCTTTATAATAGTCTCATTAATTCAGGTAGGCAATTGACTAACAACTTCTGATCCAGTCCAGTCCTAAGTATTAGAAGATACGCCTATTAAAGTACTCATATGTCAGGTACTATAACTAAATCATGAACAAAATCTTACTAAAAATATTTCGAAAATTACTAACTAGTTTAAATAATAATTTGTCAAAATCGAACCTACTTAACAGTCGTATCGTAGGGCCAAAAATATTTTTTTATTTGATATTAGCTTACGTAGTACTAGTACTAGCATACGTGCAATCACGTTTTTTCTCGCTCCCGTAGGATTTTCGGGATATTCTTGGATAAAAAGTATCCTATATCTGACTCCTGGTTCTAAACTACCTCCACACCAATTTTCATTCAAATCGATTTAGCCGTTCTTGAGTTAAAAATATTGTAACTAACACTTTCTTTTACAGCTAGTAATTTTTAACTTAAATATTTATAAAAAGATTTGAAATATAAACTAAATACATAGGTACTCACTAAAATCCTTCTTGATCAAATGATCCTGTTTCTGTATCCAATCATCCAGGATCTTGATAGCTTCATCTAATCTTTCAGGTTTATCTAAATCGTGAATCTTCCTTATATTCTCAACAGTGCCTGGTGGCATTCTCAAAATCTGATTCTCATACAATAACTCCATATTTGCACTTCTATTCAAAGGACACTTTTATCTAAAGAACTTTTCGATCTATGGTTTTTTTTAATATGTTTATAGGGCTTTGTTTTTTAACCGTATGCTTTGAAGTATTCTGATGGACTGCTTAATAGTGAATGAGTGCGTGTATATAAAGTTGCGAGTCTGCTTGTTATGTCACAACGAACGTACAGTCGTCGACACAGATTTCAAAACGGTTATCCAACAATTTTAATCGTATTGCTTGGTCTGTTAGACTAGTGTTTTAGTATTGGTTAAGAGAGACTGGCTTGATGTTTGATTTGTAATCCTGGAGGCTTTTTTTATAACATCGTAACATCACGCCTTTTTATCCCCGAAGGGGAAGGTAGAGGTGCACATTTCGGCACTTAATGCCACTGTACAATATAACACCCAATTTTCACTATTTATGTTATGAGTCCCATGTAATAGGGGGTGAGCCTATTGCCATATACCGGGCACATTTCCAGGCTCCGTGCTACTACTGAGATTTTTAAAAACCCAGTAATACTTTGCCCGACCCGGGAATCGAACCCGAGACCCCTTGCACGGCCCTTGCGACCACTTGGCCAACGAGGCGGCTTTTTTTTAAGGGGGACATCATCGAGTAACTTCTCCTGCCTGGATGAGGCGAGAGGGAGTGTCAGACTCTTACTGACTAATAACCACCCTGTTCCTACTCCTGTCCTTCAAGCCGGAGCCCCGGTTAAGGGCCTGATTCGCCACCCTCAATAAGTACCTACATGTCAATGTGGTAGATAGTTCATACAAATTATGTTCTATATTCTTATCTGGTACATTTGCAGTATCCATTCATGACAATGTCTGAACATTGTCAAGTTACCAAAATTAAGATATTTGTAAATAAACACTAGCATAATTTTAGAATTTTAAAGTATAATTATATAGGACAGATAGGATGGAGTCTTCACATGACATCACGGAGAAGGTTTGAGCATCAATCACCACGCTTGCTCAATGCGGGTTGGCGATTTCAAACTTATTTGTAAATTATAAAACCATGGATGGAGATCTAAATGAACTTAAATGTCACTTGGAGCATAGTAGGTACTGAATTAGAAATATCTAAGTAAGTGTACGAGCATCGCCACATGATTTCAATTGTTTTACTTTTTAACTTATTCTGCTATACTAACATTTTGCCGAATGCGCGTTATTGGCGCATTCATGACGCAACCTACTAACAAATTTATGTTATTTATAGCCACACTAATTAACTAATGTAGTACAATAAATACTCTCTTCGAGAACGGATACAAAAACAGTAATTTTATTTCTGTGAACATCCCGTCTTCGTTGACAACATACTACACACAACAAACACATTTCTGTGTACGGGCAAACAGCTCGTACATTTTGGTCCTTCGAGCCGGATACCGCGCTACTGGAACAACAGCCCCGCAAGCATCATCAGGTTCGTAGAATCTCTATTTACGATAGCGAATCGGTTTGACCGGTCTTCCACAAGCGGATCGCCCCGGTCGGATTGAGAAGGCGCATATATCGTACGTAGTGATTTCTGCTGACCCGGTGACCATAACAGGAACCACGAACAGTAAGCGATCCGGAAGCTATTTGAAGTAAAACAGAGTGTTCAATAACATTTCTACAACAACAATGGACACTAAACAACAAGAACTCCTCAAGCGGCAGCAGATCATCGCCGAAGGCATCAGGAAGATTGGTATCAACTTTGGAAAGGATGGTCCAGACCGTAAGAATACAACTTACATCAAAGTTAGATTGGATAACCTGAAGGCTCTCTGGAATGAGTTTGAAATGAACCACGGCGTGTTGCAGTTCTCTGAAAACCAGACGCATGAATACTATGCCAGTAAAGCATATGACCTGGTCAAGCTTGAATATATTAACACACAACAGAAATTACAATCTTGGCCTACATATGTTGCTGGTGATCAGGATCAGGAGGCAGTTGGAAGTCCAGGCGAGCTCAGCAAGAACACGGGTGTTTATTCCAAATCTGATGAGCTCAAAACTCAACAAGCCACTAACTTTCGAGCCTTCTCCCGCTTCACACGCAACTTAAATATTGCTGACATCAGTGAAAAATGGGACATTGAAGACAAACTCAAGACTCTCGAGTCCAGATGGAAGGTGATTGATGATGTCCATTGGCAACTCGACAACATCCTTGTTGGTAGCGACGTAAACTACGAGCTTGAGTTCTCAAAGTATGAAGATACTTACGAGTCAACAAAACGCAACCTTAATCGTAAACTCAACCTTGCTGTACAACAACGCGACAGCGCCCCGAAGATAGAAATACCAATTTTCTCTGGTACCTACTCACAATGGCCTACATTTTTGGATTTATACACTGCTGCTATTCATAACAACCCTTCCTTTTCCAAGGGTCAGAAGATGCAACATCTAAAAGGGAAGTTGAAGGGAGAAGCTGAGCGCTTGGTACAACATTTACCTGTTTCCGAAAGCAATTATGACTCTTGCTGGGAAATTCTAAACCACAGGTACAACAACCTGCAGCTGTTATTCTCAAAGCAGATGCAAACCTTGATGAGTCAGCCTTCCATTCAACATCAAAACTCTCACGAACTGAAGCGTCTGCATGACACGAGTCTAGAAACGGTGCATGCCTTGCGCAACTTAGGAATTGACACAACCACGTGGGACCCTATTCTGGTGCATATCTTGTCAGGAAAGCTGGATTCCCAAACTCTTTCCGATTACATGGAAGCAAGAAAACATCCCCGAGAACTTCCTAATTTTCATGAATTTATCGAGTTCATAGAGGCCAAGTTTACTGCACTGGAATCTGTGGCAAAGAAAAGGACCCCTACAACCAACAACAAACAATTCCATGCGCCACTGATGGCTCCAAAGAAGGAATTTACTACTTCAACATTCCAACGGGATGCGTACAACAAATACAAGCATTCTCCCAAGGCGAATCATACAAGTTCCGACAGAAATTGTCCTATTTGCAAAACTAACCACATTTTACTACATTGCAAGTCATTCCAAGAAATGACACCGGACATAAAAATGCGGTCAATTGAGCAATTGGACATTTGCAAGAATTGCATGTTTTCGCACAATGGAAATAAATGCAATTCGCGTAAAAGATGCCGAGTATGCAATGACCCACACCACACGACGCTACATGATATGCTACGCGACTCTTTCACCGGTCAACAACCTCTCAACAAGGCCAATCATTATAACAAATCATCAACTTCACAAGGAAAATCTAATCACGTGTCAGGAGATTTTAACGAAGTTCTACTGGCGACTGTACAAGTTAAGGTACAAGCAGTTGATGGAACATATATAACATTACGATGCCTTTTGGACCAAGGTTCTCAACTAAATCTTATAACTGAATCTGCAGCGCAACGGCTTGGTCTACCAAGAAGCAATCAAAACTCTACTGTGACCGGAGTAGGAACTCTTGCGTGCCACAGCAATGGCACCATTAACTTGAACTGCTCATCGATATATGAGAATTACCAATTTACAACACAAGCTCTGGTAATGCCTAAGCTACTTAACAATCTACCTAATTATTCCTTTGAAAGACAGGACTGGCCTCACATACAGAATATAAACCTGGCTGATCCACATTTCAACTTATCACGCCCCATTGACATTTTACTTGATGCTGGAGTTTACGCAGATATAATCATGAGCAACATCCTTCGAGGAAACATACATGCACCTATTGCGCAACAAACAAAACTCGGATGTATTAGTTGGAAACACAAAGACATTCAACTGCCATGTAGTGTAAACTCCGAGAATATTTCACGGTTTTGGGAAATGGAAGAAATAATACCTAACACCGAATCTTTGACCGTCAGTGAGGAGTACTGTGAGAAATTATACGCTACTACTACAAGAAGACTTGAAGATGGACATTACGAAGTTCGCATCCCAATGAAACCAAACTTTGAACAGCATTTGGGACTGTCCAAACCTCAAGCAGCTGCACAATTCAAGCAACTAGAAAAACGATTGGCTAGAGATGAAATATTTGCGGCAAGCTATAAAGCCTTCATCGACGAGTACTTAGCTTTAAATCACATGAAACCATGCACAACATTGATGAAACCTACTAGCTATTTACCCCATCATGGAGTACTACGACCTGATTCAACCACTACTAAACTCCGTGTGGTCTTCAACGCATCTGCAACAACTAGTACGGGACGAAGCCTAAATCAACTTATGGAATGCGGACCAAACTTACAACAAGATTTACAAGGTTTAATACTTCGATGGAGAACATTTGAATACGTATATACAGCCGACATTGAAAAATTTTATAGACAGATACGCATTCATGAGACAGATCAACATTTACAAAAAATTCTCTGGCGCGACTCTGCTTCTGATCCCCTGAAGGAGTTCCAACTGACTACAGTAACTTATGGCACCAAATCGGCTCCGTTCTTAGCTATGCGCACGATCAAACAACTGATTAAGGACGACGGCGAGCAATACCCTCTAGCAGCAGACATGCTTTCCAATCAACTGTACATGGATGATTTATTGGGAGGTTGCAATGACATCATAACGGCACAGAAAGCCCAAACCGAACTTATCACTCTACTGAAGGGCGGAGGATTCAACCTCCGTAAATGGGCTAGCAACAACTCGTGCCTGTTGGAAAAGTTACCTAATGAATTAATAAGCCAAAGAATGTTTGATTTCAAAGATGCCGAAACAAACAAAACACTGGGCATAACTTGGAACCCGCACACGGATCAGTTTTCATACACACAGTTAACGGCTATTTGCACTAAGCGTGAGTTTAACACAAAGCGTAACCTACTTTCGGACATATCTAAACTCTATGACCCGCTTGGTTGGCTAGCACCAGTTACCCTAAAGGCCAAGTTGATCTTCCAACTAGCTTGGACCGCAACTATGAGCTGGGATGATAAGCTTCCTGTAAACATACAACAAGAGTGGGAACAATTCCG